CTAAGACGAGTCTTGTGAAATCAGTATTCCATGTATTTACAGGGATATATAAATTCCCTGACCAGGAGCGGATTGTTCCTTGGGGACAGCAATGTTCACCCCCATCAGAACGTGACACTTTCAGTAAGTTCTGTCTGTGTTCTACTCCCCTCCAGCTCCAAGCCTGGTAGTGCCCTTACCAGCACCAGTCCTGGCTCCAAAACGCACCAGAGATGAAAGTACGGACAGCACCTGGGCAGAGGGGAAATGCCCCCCATCCGGGCCAGCTGAAGGCGTGAGAACTGCTACTGGTAAAAAAAAGGTGTAAAAAGGTACAGAGGGATGGTCTATGGCTCCCACACAGGCACTGCAAAGGCAGGGCGTCCCAGTTCTCAATTCCTACTCCTTTTTACGGTTTCCCAGGCACAAGAGAAATGTGTGGGTACCGAAGGGCTCGCAGGATGCGCCTGCGTCCAGACACGCGTATAAGATCACTGACCTTCGGGGGGCAGACGATTACGTTTATGTATTTGATCTGTCTAGGAAGAAGTGCATGATGGATTTTTTCAAGACAGATTTTTTTTCTTGCTGAAGAACTGGATGGTAACGTTCTTGCTGAATGGTAAACACAAATTTCCAAAGCAAACGTTAAAGTAAGTTCCAGGCTTACAATTCCAGGTTTGATTTTCTTTGGCAATTCAATCTACGTGGCGATTTTGATCAAATGCTTCAGCTTCTAACATTTGTAACCCATGATAAAATGCACACCAAACTCCCTTATACTTAAATAATGGTATCAGAAGTTGAATGCACACTGTGACAGAGTATGAATTATCTGAGAGGCTGCAGAATAAGACAAGTGTAGTCTGGAAGACAGATACAAGCACCCAGCGCAGTTTGAGCACTGGAGATAAGAGGCTAATCCTTTGCCTGCTTTAATAAAAGCTACTTAAAATGAATGAAAAAGGGTAAAATAAAATAAACTCTTCAGAGCTTGACATAAGGCATCTGACTGAAAACTCATTTGCTAATTGTTTAAGACTTAGGCCATTGAGCCAAGATGATTTAGAACAGCGATTCACGATAAATAATGTGCTGAATTCAATGCGGGTGCAAGCTAACATTGGGAACTCTCGCCCTTGGTCCAGGCCTTGGCGGAGCTGCAGGCTCAACGTCTGCGTTTGCTCGCCGACTGCACGAAGGGAGCCCGTGAGCTATATTGGTCGCTGGACCCCCCCTCACCGCCGATTGGGTAGACATGCAGCTGGTTTTGGAATCAATTCTTGTGCACGTGAAATTAAAAGCTGTTATATTTAAATGCTCCTGTACATATGCGACAGAATTTGGTCACCTGAAGCGCCCTGGCCAAGAAATACAAAAGGTACGAGACCATGAGCAGCGCGCTTAGGAAACCAAATGAACGCTCCCACTCGGTATCTGTCCCTCGTCCACCGTTTTAAAACACAGGCAGTTCTGCGTGTAAACGTTTCCACCTTTTGTCGCAGGCCCTCTTGCCACAAGGCCCTATGTTCAGGCTGAGAGTGGCCCAAACAGCTGTAGCCACTGGTTAAATTTCTTGCCAGGCTCGGAGCTTTTTCTTCTGTTTTTATGTTCATTTTTAAAGGAAATGGTTTAATGTCTATAGAATAGAAAAATGCAATATAGCTGTGTGTTTTCTCATGTTTCTGGAATTCTAAAAGCGTTCCAGGACCAGTCTGTTCTGCCCTTAATTAACTCCTTGCGCTCCTGGGCTGCTTTTCCCGCGGGCAGCAAACCTTCCCCCTCCGACCAGACCCTGCCGGCTGCCGGGTCTGCGCAGCACGAGCCCTGAACTCGGTAGGGGACGGCTGCTACCGCGGTGCCGTTCATCCGGGAGGCAAAGTCTAAAATTGCATCTGGCCACTGCAGGGGCAACACAAGTGGTGAGCGTCTGCCTGGATCCTCAAAGGTTTCGGATGCGATCAGGAGGAACGAGGCACCTAAATGAGTACTTCTGAGTACAACGGCTTCTGTGTCCTCTGCCCACGCGTGGTGTAAGGTCGACTACAAACAGTAATTTATCAGATGATATACCATGAGCCTCAGAAAACACCACAAGATTTAGCATTGGTTTTCCCCCAAAGGATTACTAACATACGTAAAGCTAAGCCACTCCATCTACCAATACGATCATACAAATAATTAAACTAGCTATGGTAGAGATTTAACTTATTTATTTACAGGTCACGCTTCTGGTTGCCCTAGGTCAATGATTTTTAGCAACAAAGCTCCGTAAGAATAGATTTTCTTAATAATGCCAATAATGTATGTGTAACAAAAGTACCCAAGCACGTACGGGTCTGTCGAGTGCGTGTGTATCCGCCTTCGCGCACGCGCTCTTCTGCACAGCACAAGCTCGGGGAAAGAGACCGCAACCACCCACTGCGCATCCCGGCAAATCATCCTGAGCTGCGCTCAAATTGCCATACGACAAAATTAAATGAATTGGAATTATTTTCCTCCATGAAAAGACTTGAAATGAGATTTAAATCAGCGGGTGCTTGGTAAAACACGGCAATCTGATGCCTGTTCCATAAAACTGACAGCCGCGCCTGGTGGTTTTTCTTCTGAATTTGATTAGATCATTTGGTCAATCTTGGAGAATGTCTACCGGTGACACAGTCAGACTGAGATTTGTGCAGGAAATTACAGCACGGCCAGGGAAGCTTAATTAGTTTTGTCAGCAAATCTAAAGACACTAGCTTGCATTTCCAGAAACTGGCTACAGCCTTTACAAGTACCCTGATTCAGCAAAAATCAAGCTAATTATATATTGGGCTTAAAAAATCCTCATTAGAAGAGCGTTATTGGGGTTATAATGTCCAAACCCATGAAGATAGGAAATACGGCGTTTAACAAGCAATTGGTTTGACAAGCTGATATATACATATATATATATATATAAAATGATGTTAATTCTATGCCTGTAACATTTGCTCCCCAGACCTGCTCAGTATCTCAGCTACTTGATACCTTCTTCAGACCCGCTGTGCGGACACGGTGTTTACCAAACTTTGTTCAAATTCTACTGCAGAGAACCGTATTGATTTCCTTTTTAATTTTTTTCCCTGTGTCCCTGCAATATCTCAATGCTTCACAAATTCCAATGCTTATTTTGCCAGCAGCCAGGGTAAGGTGCAGGGGCGATGACAACCTCCTCCTCCCTAAGGGGTGCAAGGCCAAGGGAGTTCCTAAGATTTCTGAGTGCTATTTTGGAGATACCCAAGATCTGATTTTTCAAAATATTAATAATAAAGAACTCTGAGATTTGAGACGCTACTTTGCCTGTCTTCTGCTGCAACTCTAAGCTGTCAGTAATTCTGTGAATCAAAGCTCAAGTGCAAGCATCCAGACAACGCGAATACAGCTCACATGTGCAAGCGTGGCATTACCAACGCCGCAGAGCAGCGGGAGCTGAATCGGGAACGTCCGGTTTGCTCGGGGAACGTTTAACTCCGTTGCCTGTGCCAACCTCCTCTCTCCTCATGTACTAGCTTTAATGCTAACTGGTTAATTATTACAATCTTCCCTGAAATTCTTTGTTTATGGCTTTTCTTTCCAGATATATTTGCTGAATTGTCACAAGCCTAGATTTTCTACTTCAGAGGTGCTCATCACTTGGAGGGGTGGTGTCTCCCTAGCTCTATTGGGTTGGTTGGGTTGTTTTGTTGTGGGTTTTGTTTTGTTTGTTTGTTTGTTTTAATTTAGGATGTAAGATTTGCAGTTGTTTTAAAGCAGTCAGAGCATTTGTGTGGCTATTTGGCTAACTGGGGTCAGTAACTATGGGGTCAGTAACTACATTCTCTCTTGTGTTTCTCACTCTTAACAATCAAAAGCAAGGTCTTGTAGAAGTCTCTTCAGTGTGTGCGTGAGAATGCAGAGAGGCAGGGAGGAAAGATGAAAGAAAACAGTGAGAGGGCCGTCCAGAGTTTCTGGAAGTCGATGTTCAAAACAGTTGTAAAGAAAAACTCTTAAGATTTTACTGCAAAAGAAATTTGCAATAAAAGCGTAACCCTGGATATAGTGATGTGGTGCTTCCACTCGCTGGGTCACCAGACCCGTTAACCAGACGAGGAGCTCAACATGCAACTCGGCATCGGAACAACGACTGCTCTAGCAGCGTTTACGCAAAATTCCAGCTCTTGTTTTTAAGGGTGTGTATACGGATATATATAGGAGATATATAAAAAGGAGAGATATATATATATATATATACACACACACCCTTTATTACGGGTGTATACCTCCATTTTTTTTACCTTTAGCTTTTGTTTAGTTTTCAGTAATTGTGGCAAGTAATGATCCAGTGTTTTGCAGTTTGGTTGTCCAGGGACACAGTTTTAAGATATGAAAGCCTAGTTAAGTTACTCAAGAAGTTGAAGTTTAGTACAGAAAAAAGTGAACATGCAGACAAATCACCTTTTTTTTGGTAAGAATTTTAAATCTGGAGTTAATGTGCCGACGTTTTGGGATACAAAACTTATTTTAAATTTGGAGTTAATGTGCCGACGTTTTGGGATACAAAACTTACTTTAAATTTGGAGTTAATGTGCTGACGTTTTGGGATACAAAACTTATTTTAAATTTGGAGTTAATGTGCCGACGTTTTGGGATACAAAACTTATCTTAAATTTGGAGTTAATGTGCCGACATTTTGGGATACAAAACTTATTTTAAATTTGGAGTTAATGTGCCGACGCTTTGGGATACAAAACTTATTTCACAGTTGGCAGGACAGGCATATTGACATTTCAATGGGAGCTCCTCCAGGCAGCGGCAGGAGAGAGGGCACTGAAAGCGTGCGGGAATCGTGGGTGGCACCGTGAATTCACTGCCCTGGGCTGGGAGCCCCCGAAGGGCGCCGGCAGTCGCGCGTTCCGGCAGCTCGCAGAGCGCCTCGCTCGTGCTGCTGGTACGGGGCGGCACGTGGGAGCACACGGACGCAACGCTGCGGGAGAGGGGCGGCTCTCGGGGTTACTTACGTTGGCAGCCCAAGCTGTGCCAGATATATCCCGGCAGACATTTATCACATTTAGGCCCTGATGTTCCCTCCTTACACTCACAAAATCCTCTGTCATTACAGCGATCATGGACTGAACCAAAAGGGTTACAATAACAGTCTGCAGAAACAAGACAACACATACACACCGGATTCAGGTCCACGTTTGGCGATAATTCATCAATACCGACACAGGGCGCATTTCCAGCGCCAAAGGTAAAGGAAGACTGTCTGTTAGGGATATCCACAGCAGGGACTGTAACCACTACAGCCCCATTCATTTGTTTGCATAGGTCGTTTCAGGAAGAGACATTTTATGATGTGAAGAGAAAAAGCAAACAGGAAGGATATAAAGGCAGAAGACACCATGTCCTTTGAGGGCAAGGGATTGTAACAGATTCTCTTTTGGTGAGAATGCTTTTGACAATTTAATGAACATTAGAAAAGCTTTGCATAGCATGGATAGATCCAGGTGCCATCAGGGTGAAATGTTCCGCATTATTCAAATAGGCTTAGCTATGTTACTCAGTATTTTCAGAAGTGCCGAATGTCTTAACAGAGCTATATAAATGTACTTTACTCATTTCCAAGATAGTCTTCCTTTATAGCTTCGAGCAGTATAATAATTTATGTGGATATTTGCCATTACATTGATGAGACTGTATTTATCAGTGACGTTAATAAACCTTTTAGATACTCCATGATGAGAAGCTTGAGGTGAGCAGTAACGTGGTGCCAAACTGAGCAGAACTGCCTTTGCGGCACCGTTTTCATTCTGCTCACCTCCCAGCGGGCAGATGGAAAATGCAACGGGGCTCTTCCCCCACGGTGTATTTTCCACGTGTGTTCACCCCGTTGAAGAACGGCTGGGGTAACCCCTTTCCTCCCACACCCAGCGCTGTTCATCCCCAGCCCTTTCTGCAATGCCATTACAAAGGCTGGGTTTGGCTTTCAGCCAGCAGAACAAAGACAGGGCAGCAGCTGGCAGAGCTCATTTTTGGCACTCCTTCAGCTTATGTATCTATTTATTTATTTATTTATTTTTACGAAGGGCTGTATCTTATTTGTAGGTAGACCCAGGTAGACCCAGAGTAACTCCACTGTCAACTGAGACCACAGACACATTTTGGCAGCATCTGATCTCTGCTGCTGGTGAAGGCAAAAGATACAGACATCGATTCCTGAACCTGGGCAACCTGCTGGGAGCCTGGCTTTGTACGCCTGCGAATCTCCCGCGGCCCCTTCCGACCCTTGCCATCCTGCCATTCTGTGAAGCAGGGCTGCTTTGATGACTCCCTTTGGCGGTTGCTCCCTGGCATTAGGTTAAACCTCAGCAATATTGTAAATGACAAAATGGAGTTGAACTGGGAAGTAAAATACAAAAATAATCCGAAGGAAAAACAGTAACAGGAGAAGAATTACCAGGAAGACATTTGTCATCTGTTGTCTCCGTGTTTAGCAACGACAAATTACAGATGGCATGTTGAACGCTTGGCATGCCGAAGAAGAATAGTTACCTTTGGCAAAGAGAGTTCCTCAATAATAATAGAGTCAATTAGCCAGCAACATTCATTAATGAAGTTGAAAACCGACACGCCAAAAACGCTGTGCAAGGCTGAGCCGAATTACAGCGCAGCGAGTGCCATTTGGAAAGCTGGCAATGCCGATGCTAATCAGATGTAGGCAATGTTTCTGTAAGCAGGCCTAGAACTGAGATACACATCGAGCGCGGGAAGGAAAACTTGCCTGAACAGTGTTTGTAGAAAGCCTTGGAAGACAAGAAGCTTGGGACTGCATTAGAAGCAGAAGGCCCCAGTCTGTACATTAAAAGCAGCTTAGCTGGATACGATGGCGTTACAGTGGTTTGAACACGTGTTTGTGAAAGAAATCTACGGCCCATGGTACTGAATGTTTGTAGATGCGTAATGTTTTATTTTCCAGAGAGCGAGAACCTGGCCCTGAGTCAGTGAAAGCTTTCCTACCCAACTCCATCATATAGGTGTGCAAGATGTACCAGGCCTGTACTGGGCTTTTTAAGGGGAAGCGGATAGCGGCAACAAGACATTAAGCCAGGCCCTTTACAGGAGTAGCAGATCACAGCGGAACAGCACGCAGACCCAGTCACCTCTAAGAACTGAGTCTAGCCTCCATCCTTCCCCCAACACAACTGATACCACCGGTACATAACCAAGAGAGGGCCCCCAAGCACCGAGGCTGGCTGTCCAACACAGTACCACCGGCCAGGGAGCGCTTCTCAAGACCTGCCAAATACTTAAGACATTAAAAAGCTCAAACACCACAATTTCCCGTGTGCCACATGGAGGCAGTCAGTATCTCCAACGCCCGTAGAACAGGGCATTAAATAACATTAAATTAACATTCCTCATCCTAATAAGCAGACCACAACACTGTGTTCCAGGGTGGGGGAGAAAAGCCTGCAGAGCTGAACGGGGAAGGCACTTTCCACCCAACCTCCATCTGGTCACTGAAGGATGGGAAGATGACAGCAGTGCTCATCTGTCCTCTGAGAGTCACTCCATCAACGCCACACTGCCACCAGAACGCGATGGAAATCAGTGAAAAAGCAGCTTGGGACACAGGCTGAAGCTCGCAGGCTTGCTGCTAACCGGTCTGGGTTGACAGTGGCTACCGGAAAGCCGGCCGGGCTCGCTGGCCCATACGCCGTGAGGTTTCTAAAGGGCCGTTAGCGGAAGCTGCAGGCGACTGCGAGGCCGGCTTTCCTATCGGCGTGGCGGTAATTACCATTCCAGTCTTTAGGTTATAAGGCAAAGGAAACGTTTTATTACTCTGGGTCTACCTGGTGGTTTCCAAGCTATCCATGCTTGCCAGTGTGAGCACGCACTGAAAGACAGAGTTACTGGGACTCCATCGTCACCTTGTGAAAATAAGAGGCTCTTCAAGTTGTTCAATTCTTTTTCACTGTAAGCATGTCGAGTGAGTGATTTTTAACTTCAAAATACCTCGACGTACTTAGAAAGGGCAGTTGCCCACACGAGGTAATTTGGCATTTAACTGACAAATCCTGATATTTCTGATATTTCATTTTAGGAAATAAAATTTGTTTTGCTTCTAAAGAAATTAAGGGCATAATGAAATTAGATTTAAGCCCACTGTATAATGTGTTGCATTTGGTTCACTGGTAAAAACCTTCTCAGTATTTCAGTTCTTTGCAACTTGTCGGTTTTAAAAATGAAACATTTTGCATTTTCTCCATTTGGTTGGCAGCGGCTGAGAGTCACAGGTTTGTTACCCAGGTACTTACCAGATACATTTATGAAAACTATGTAAGTAGTTTTGATAAATCAGAGCCAAAGCCCTCGAACTGCTGCCATTGAACTAGCTGACCCAAGCAGTTCTTTCTTTTCTAAATATATGGCTGAAGAGGAAAGAATTAGCCTGGAAAAATGAGACTTTCATACGGGAGCAAGACTTGCACACATCACTGGAAATCTGCGCATTAAAACGTTCATGCCAACATTCCACTCGTACTTAAACCCCCAAACGCTGCTTTTAAACTCAGAGAGAGGAGAAATGAGCGTTTCCAATAGAGCAGGACTCTTTGTGCTTGACCCGGAAGGATGGTGAATCCATCGACCCTCTCCGAGGTGAAAACACCCTGCGCTTTGCAGGACTGAACCTCAGGAGCCCCAGTTCCCACGCACCGTAAGCACAAACGTCTCTGTCTGCTGACAAGGGGCTGGGCACCCGCCTCACTCGGCTGGCTTCAAACAAGCAGCACGGAAGCCGTCCTGAGGTGGCAACTCAGCATCTGGCACGCGCTATGAGCGCCGTCATCCTGGGAACGGTCTCAGTCCAACGGGAGTGTTATTGATTTAAACCAAATTACCTACGACGTGGGAAACCAGGGTTTGATCCTATAGGCACCTCGCACGGTCCAATTCTCACAGGAGCCCACGAGAATTCCGCTTGCATTAAGGTGGGGAAGTCAGCCAATGCATTGTGTTGCCTTTCTTGTTCTTAAGACTCTTGTTAAATAAAAAGTTTTAAAATTTTGTTTCTGTGAAGTCTGGGCGATTTTGAAGGGCACAGCTTTTTTGCTAAGACACTTTAGATACATCATGTGCAAATTAATTTAAAATTTACTGGTTTTTGACTCCTGGTCTATTAACTTCCCTGTCTTACGTAGCTCCAGCTGCTGCCTTAGCATTTCAGCGTACATGGGAAAACAATACACTGAATGAGCTGGTGAACAATCCCGGGGTAATTTAGCGTCACATTCATTAGGCCTATTTAGGCAGCTGGAATTATGCAGCCCTGATGTGACACCGACGATGCCTGTCGTCTCCATCAAACAAAGATGAGGGACAGTGGGTTTTTTCCAGGAACGTCTGATTTGGTTAATCTCCTCAGCACAGTCATACAACATCATGACTTGCCTACTAAGGTTCTTATTAGCTCAGACTAATTAATGTCAGAGGAGATCGTGCATTTTCTGAATGTGTTGCCAAGCAAAGTTAAAAGAAGGACACGTGCAATGCAGTGCGTGGATGGCTCTGGGTGTTTATCACGAAATAAAATGTAAATTTGTCAGGCTGCAGACTGAAACGAAATAGTTTCTGGCTTGAATCTCAGCCATGGATTATAAAGAATATTAAAATATAAGTTATACACCCATAGCCTATTTTGGCATGAAAAAATCTTATGACTTCCTTTTTGCTTCCTGGAAAATGGAAAGGAAAAAAAATCACAATGAAAAATCCAGAACAGGTTCCACCGATGCTTGTGTCTGTAAAACCCTCGCGTAATAAATTCTCCACCTCTGGCTGTTATTAGAAGTGTGCCTGTTGTGGCTCCCTGGCACTGCTGCCCATGGCGGGAGGCTTCCT